CCAAGTCAAAAACTGAAAGTCCCATTTCAATGAACTTGTGCAATATATGCGGCTATTGCGCATTGTGGCGTTGATTACATGGACATTTTTAATTATTTACGAATGGTCAGGCGAGCCGCCGATGACGGATCGGCGTTAATTAGCTAACAGCAATACCGCTGCTTCCTCTAAGTGTTTGGGAAGGTAATGGGAGCTGCCCGGTTTCTGATCGGCGAATATAAATGAAGCGAAGTTTTCTTTAGTTTTCACCAATAAAAAGCTTGGAATTACATGAACTACCGTACCATCACGGTATCGCAAATTTTTATCCCCTTTCCGCAGTGATGTTACAGGGTCTGTGTCATTGTATGAGCAGGATAACATTTATAATTCGTTTTGGAAAAAATCGTTTAGAAACCGCGAAGAAATTTTGAATGCAGTCATCATTCAGTTCTACAAAATATTCCCTGTTTCAAAAATGAAAACCACTTTCTATCCTCCAATCAGTTTTACGAAAACAACATCTTCTGTTTCAAAATGGGATTTGAAATTTACCCTCCAGTAAGTTTCTTCTTTCAAAATTAAGTAATCGAAATTTAGCCTCTGGTCAGTCTCACAGAATATTATTTCCTGTTTCAAATCTTATTTTATCTTTCGATAACTCTTCACAAGACTAGTGAACCAGTAATTCAAAGAGGTTATTTGGAAGAGCGTTCGCTTCGGGATCGCCGCGGTTTTCCGCTCTTGGAAAATTTTTGAATTGAGCTAACGATTCTTTATATACTAGATTTTCCAGTTCCAAAAATTAAGAATTTTCTCTTTAAATTCTTTATAACTTTTTAGAAAAATTTCCTGTTTCAATAATAAAACAAATGTTGTACTTCAGTCCCCTACCTCGCTATTTCTCATATACATACATCCGAATATTTCATCTTCTCTTCCACTCCCCTCGTCCCAACTCCTATCCCTTCCCCCCCCCCCCGCCACCCCGTCTCAGTCATCTGTCGCTGGCTTCAAACCTCGGTGGCAGCTCGTAATTAAATACAATTAACGCCTCCGAGCAGCATCGTTGAAGTGCCTTCCGACCGTGGCAGCGCCCCCACGTCTCCGCCAACGCTGCCACGTCGCCCCTTTCAGATTCGATGCTCATTAATATTAATGTGCTGTAATGTTCGAAACTGCGTGGACCGATTTCTTCAAAACTTTGCTGTAGTTTTTGGGCGGTTCCTTACGGCCACTTCTGGCTAGGAAAATTGCTTTTTTTGTCAAATCGTTTGGCTCCAGTTTCTCACATTGATTTTGAATGAAAGATCAGTTTGTCGACCTCACTGTTGATCACAAAATTGCTTTAATTAAACTCAAGGAGCATAACAGAAACATAGGTTTTTTTTGTAATGTTGATCATAGAACGAGTTTCACAGTCTTGAAAATAAGAATTTTCTGAAAACCTTTAAAATCAATTGATTCCACCATGTTTAGACTGACTGAGTTGACTGAAAACTCATCTGCTCAATTTTTCTTTTTTGGAATTTTGGTCCAATTTGCATTATAAATTCTGCAGCTAGAGTATGCTCATTCTTCGATTTATAAAATTTCACTGAATTTATGTTTTGTAATTACTCAAGGCCTGCACTTCTTCCAAATTTTGATATAAGCATTCCGTAGGTCATATAACTCCATTATTAATCGAGATCTCTCATATTATTTTCATTTAAAGTGACAACTCTTCAAGATTTTCATAGAAATATCGCGGCAAATACCTTTTTTTTTCAAATATTCACCGTAAAGCATGAAAAAATTGCCGGTAACATCTTGCGCATTTTTACGAATATTTTTCTATGGCTATAAATATACTGAGTCATAATTTCGCTTCAATTTAAGGGCCTAACAGTAATGGTTCTGTAATTAGAGCTAAGGTGGCAATAAAACTAGTAGGGACAAGTTTTTCCCTACTATTCCATCTGAGTTCGCTGGAAGACGTTGAATTGTTATTGCTTTTACTTTGCAAAAACATTTCTCCAGTAAGTGCATGAGCTGAAACACATTTCAAATAGAACTTTATTGCTAAAATGGCATTAGCGACCTTGTCTACCGTTTTGCAAATGTATGTCTTTTGGCGTCTATAGTTTCCTCGCTAAAAGAAACCGCGCTGCTTACCGATTGCGGCGCGGCTGCTTGACGCCGAAAAGAAATCAATAATCAGCCAGACTGTGGGATCCTTGTGCTGACGTTCACGACTTTTTCACTGGAGAAATTCGGAGCTCTGCAAAGCTAGAATATATATTCAATGTGGCTTCCTGTAAACTTTATGCGCAGCTTTTTTCCTCCTCCTTACGGAAATTCGAGCAGCTCTCGAAAGCTCTTAGTGCGCTGCACTTAGATAAGCGAATTACTTTTTTTGTTTTCTTTATGGATTAAGCGGTTCTGAAGCCCGCAAATACTATACTCAAGCACTTCGCACTTTTCTACGATCTGCGGCTGGTCCCAAATTTAATTAGTTTTTTTAGAAGAGGCTGTTTATGGGCAAACCAGGCGTCACCTTATGATATTTTTTCTCGATGACATACACCTGTTCTTGGACATTAGCCAGGTGATACATGACTGAAAAATGGTCCTGCCATAATTTTGCTTATAACAGCAACGGCTGAGCTTGTCTTTTGACCTTAAATGGATGTCAAGGAGAAAAGGTTATACTCTGACGTCTTCGTCCAATTTATAAAATTACCTCCGGTAGGGTAATGCCGTGTCAGTGGCGTGGGTTCTGAATGTCTCCTACCCCTCTTCCTCTCCCCCCCCCCCTTCCCTCCCCTCTCCCTTTCTCCGGCTCACACATGAACCTCTTTTTAGAAGGTTTTTTGGTGACTTTTCAAATATTCAACTACTTAGTGTTCCTCATTTTTCATTCATTTTTCCCTTTTTCAGTTTTTTTGGAAACCAAATGAAATGTGAATCGACTAGAATTCAGTACTAAATTTAGCTTTGATTGAGGAAAGTTGCTTCCTTCGATATAATTACCACAATCACTGATATCAAATATTTTTGGCAGAAATAGTTCCTTTTTACCCATTCCTCCCCCCTCGCCCTCTTCACTTCCCTTTCCCCTCATCACCACCACTTCTCCCACTTATGTCGAGTCCAATTAGTTCTAAATTTGTCTTTGTACCAAAAACCTAATTGCTTTACCTGACTGCAATCTCAGTGTTGAAGTGCTTTTTTGCGAATAGTACCATAATTTGATAAGTTTTTTCTTCATCCGTTAGGCACTTTGGTCTCAGCAAAGTGGGTTTTTTTCCAGAGTAGTACCATAATTTGATAAATTCTTTCTTAGCTTGCCTCTGGCTGGCTAATTTTAGTAAGGCAAAGTGTAACCATTTCCTTGATTTGTCCACTTCTGTGTAAGCTTTTTGGAAAATTGATATTAACACATTGGCGACAACGTGACCCACTGGTGGGTCATGCAATGTCTGCCACTTGGGACAATATGACCCACATGTTGAATTATGGCTCAAATTTTGTTGAAAAGACTGCTATTTTGGAATACCTTGTTTCAGAAGTTCTCTTACGCTCTAACTCTAGAACTTGCTTCTGTGTTTCTCGCCTGCTTCATAAAAATATTCTAAGTATACTGTAGTTGACGATCTTTATAATTCTAGCTAGAAAATTTTAGATTTATCCGTAATATGCATTGTCCCAAGAGGCTGGCAACTAACGCATAGAAATTTTTTGCAGAAGGGTTGAATAATTCTCGAGTTTTGAGCACTGTAATTTTGTTTTTCTTCGGAACCTCAGTTTTTTGTGCGACAGGGACTTTACCGAGTGAAACAGGACTGCTGTAAAGACCAGTTCCATTCGTATTTTTGAAGTGGAAAGACGCAAAAACTTAAGCCTAACCGCTCAATTGTCTGTGTCATAAACTTAATCGCACCATTATTGAAAGCTTTTTCAAGCTCAGAGTTTTCGTGCATATGCAAGCCTTTGTTCTATTTTTTGCCCCAAACTTTTTTCTTTCCTATTTTGCTGGGTTTTTTCTCACATCTAATTGCAACTGCTGATCCTATAACTTTTTCTTAAATGGTAATGTCTGAATTTCCAAATTTCTGCGATAAAATTCGTTTATGTCCTTTTAACAAAATTTCAAGGCCATGTCCCTACCTTTATCGCTCATAAAAAGTCTCACAGCTTTTACGTTTACAAAACACTATTGGTTTTTTATCCAAAAACAAACTTCGAAAAATAAAAACATTTTATGTATTCAACTGGGGCTGTATTAGATTCAAAAATCTTGTAAAAAGCCTTTTGTGACAGCTTTCGTAAATTGGAACGTGCTTACTCTATCAACTTGTACTATCTCAAGTATTTACGCATGAATTCATTTTGTACTTTTGTTAATGGATTTTCTGAGCCATAAAAAACCACTAGTGAATAGGTCTTGTAGAAAAAAATTCGTCAGAGCTCTTCAAAAAACTGCAGCGGTTGTAGTGGGATATTCTTTGCGTACTTGTGGCGTACTCGCTTTTCTTACGTGAATAGTTATTGTTTTCTTTGTAAAAAATTAAGATTTTTATTCCTTTTTTCAAGATGATGCTGTTGTCCTTTATGTTTTTCCCATTTATGGCTTGTCTCTCCACAAAACTTTTTTCCTATTTTTTTCTATTATTTTTTCATTTCACCCATCTAAGGCTTTGTGAAATGGGACAAAACTGCTCTATTAGATTATGCCACTGCCATTTTCTGTAATCTTCTCAGGACCCACAAAAACAACTTTTAATCGAATGTGTTGTGTGAATACAGAAATTGTGTAACATTCGCATCCTCATAATGTTCGAATTTTTCTTGCTACCACAAAATTGTCTAAATTATGCCATTTTTCATTATTTGTCAACATCTCGAGATCAAAAATTTTCCGCTATTTTTGATCTTGTAGGTTCTCTCCTCAGATAAGAAAATATACGGGAATTTACTGATTTATCTGCGTAAGATGAATTAAAAATTATTTTCAATTTTTATATTTCGTCTTGCAGAAAAGGCAGTATCACCTGGGCGAACCGCTGGTCTACGTCCACCAAGCACAAATCTTCGACCACCATCACGAGGAAATGGGTAAGTTCTAAATTTTTTGGAGCCGTAAGAAATTATTTGTGCATTTTCCGTCAATTACGGCCACTTCATTTTTTAGATGAACATAAACAAGCTTAAACCGTTTAAAGCAAGTTTTTAACTAGTTTATCCATGTAGGTCTAATAGAATTTTTTCGGTTACATAGGCTACAATTATAGCGCAGGAGCGGTCCCTGTTTGTTCGAAAATTTGTCCTTCAATCAAAGCTTTTTTTGTTGAAAAATAAGATTTAGACGTTATTTCTCGTTATTCCGGTGTCTAAGAATTTCCTTTTTCTAAAATTGCTTTTTTTACAAGGATTGTAAATGTCTGTGTAAGGGTGTTCAGCGTTGAGACATCAATCGGAGGTAATTCTGAACAAGCTTTTAATGTTTCTTTGACGAATTTCGAATAATCGGATTTATATTGAAGATTTTTCCGGTTTCACATGGAATTTAAAATCCTGAGTAGGAAAAGTCGCTGTTTTGTCAATTTTACCCTTTAAGTAAGTTTTTTTTTCACGAAGAAAAGGCAGGTTTGCAGCATGTAGGAGCAACGATTTTTTCAAGAGGGACCTGGAAAACTTCTGAAATTTCCCGGTTTTATTCAGGCCGTAAACTATTTATTAAGGGGATCATTTTTGTTAAAATCTTAACTAAAGCTTTTTCTGCGTGAACAAACAAACTTGCAACTTCTTAGGGCAATTTTTGACCGCTTTGATGGAGCGTGTAAATTTTTTCTAGAATTTTTTCTAGAGCTATTTTTCAGTTGCATTGAGGCTATAATTGTCCCAGTATAGGATTTATTGCGTTTTTTTCATCACCGGAAATTTTTTTTCAAGAAACTAAGTAAGCTAGGGTTTGGACAAAACAAAATTTATTTACCACATTAAATTTTGTGACTATAATTGTAAAATGAGTTTGATTCGTAAACAAACTTTCCGGTTTCACGTGGGCCATGAGTTTCTAACCAAAGATCTGTATCCTTGGTGCATCTCTTCTTCAGGTCGAAGATTGGCACTGAGGCATTGATGGACAATTTCACATTGCCATTATCATTTAAAATTTTTTTTGAAAATTTTCCGGTTTCACGTGAGGGTTAAATTTCATGTAAGAAGGATTAGCGTTGATAGTACTGTGTCGAACTCTACCTGGGATTTCCTTCACAAAAAAACAAGCAGGCTTACAAAGTATAGGGCAAATTTCAAGATTTTTTCTGTTTCACGTAAAGTACAAATGTCTGGATAGGAAAGAAAAGCATTTCCAACATGTAATCTTCCAGAAACAACAATGGCTCAACGCTAAGTTCGTCGAACGGTAGTTCGATAGCGTCGTCGTCAACGTACCAGTCGATTTCGGACCATAATAGTTCGGTGCCGAAAGCGAAGGCCACTTCGACATCATCGCATCTGAAACCAACCTCGTCGACAGCGAATTTGAAAGCGCCTACGGTGGTGAAACCACGGCAGTTTGCTGCAAAATCGCAGTTAACACCAAAGACTGCGATTACGAAACCATCAGCACTAAAGCCTCCAGCCACCTCCGTTGCACATTCATCAGCACAAGGTTTGTAATTTGCTTCAATTAGTCACATTTTTCTAGTGGTGGAAATCTTGGAGGACGGGGAGGGGAAGGGAAGGTGTCGAGATAAAGCAGTAGCTTTGAAAAATTAGATTTTGCAAGATCAGTGAAAATTTTTTTGAAAAGTCATCCGAAATCATGTTAAAACAATATTATATTTTTCTAACTTAGCCCTTCATATAGTTTAGTCTCAAAAAGTTGAGGAAATCAAACCTGATAGATAATATCGAAAAATCATTACTTTGTTGAAGTTCCTGGATAGTTAACTTATGAAACAATTTTTAGCTATCCGCTCAGAAATCTTTGGTATATTGTTGAAAGAAAAAACGTAAAAGTTCCTTTCGTAGTAGCAGCTTAATGGCATTCTTATTTTCCTTTCAAAAATTGTTTTAAGAAGTCTAGACTAGACTGATCAATCCTACAGATCCTTTTGATAGAACAAAATTTCTCATAAAATTCCAACAAGTGTGCTTAGAGAAGTGGTAGAAGAATTTTAGAAAGTTTCTTTATGCCCTGTAAGTGATGTGATGCCCTAGTGAAGCAGTCTATAATTTACCTGTTTTGGAAACCTGAAATGTCTTATCACACAATGATTTATTATAAGAAAATTGTTCGTTACATATGAATTTTATAAAAAAATATTTTTTGTATAACAACCACCAAACTCGTCTGGTTATGGAAAACTTGGTAATTCAATATAATGTGTTGATTTATTGCTTTGTGGAGCAATAAATTCCCGCTACAAGTAGAATATCTAAGCGACCACGGTAACTTGCTTCGGTTTAGAAATGGCTTTGCCTTTCCACGTTTTTGGAAATGCTCTGCAGCCTAAGCCCATAATCAACTTTACTTGAAATACATCATGTTTCATAAATTTGCAAGAGGAGGTAAATATAGGAAACATAATATAATATGACGAATTGAGGCCAATTTTGGACATTTGATTGTTGTTGACACTCAAAGTTCTCGAAGAAAAACAATTAGCTCAATACATATAAAAAGATCAAATTTTACTTGAAATATTGTAAAAATGTAAGAGTGGGAATTTTCCGCTTCATTTTCTTTCATTTTCACTCCAGAATTTCTCTAGGATAAATGCTTCTTTAGCATTCTGATAGCAATTTGAAAACGTTAGATTATGTGATTTGGTACTAGTGAACCAGTAATCTAAAGGTGCTATTTAGAAGAGCGTTCGCTTCGGGACCCGCCGCCCTTTCCCGCTATTGGAAGATTTTTGAATTGAGCTAACGATTCTTTATATATTAGAATTAGGTAGATTAGAAGCGAAGTAGTATTACATTCCGAAATAAATAGTGCATGGCATATTTGTAGCCTCAAAAACACTTCTTGTTGAGCAATTTTTTTCGAACTGGGAGCAGTGGGCTAATTTACTTCGAAAAATGTGTTAGAATTCATTGGTAAGTTGGCTATAGAACTTTTTTCTGATCAAATCGCTAAAATTAACATGAAGGCGGTCAGCTTTCATTATTAGATGAAACGAAGTGACAAAATTCTATAATAACGCAAAGAACAGCGTCTGAGCTGCTCATTCTTTAAAATACAAATACTTCACCATCAGCACAAAAATAATAGTTTATTTTTTGATTTCTTCCACTCTGTTTACAAGACTGTAATATGAATACTGAAACAATTTATTCATTTATTTATTTATTCAATACGCACAAGGCGTGCCTTATTTGGAACAAAGAGCAAAATACTTAGAGCATGAACAGTAAAAAGAAAATAACAAAACATCCCCAAAAGCTCAAGTCCAGCTCCATGAGTGGAAGGAAGTCTGTAGAACTGAATTAGTATTGGCTAGATTGTTACAAAATCTCCCAGCATGGAAGGCTATTCTTCTGCCAGCAATTTGAGGCAATGAGCCCAAACTTAAGATTGTTCTGACAAAATTTTTTTGACTACGAACAGCTTTTACCATCGAATTTTGGAGAAAATCAAATGCAAAGTCGAAATCCAAAGTGTGTGGTCTCAAATTATTAGGTTGTCAAGAAAATAATGTCGGTTTTTATTTGCTTGCTTTAACAAAGCAACCAGACTCAACCCAACAAAGGGTAAGGGGAACTGTTCGATAGAGCAAAGCAAGCTCTACAAGATGGCACTCATGTCTTTGCGCCATGCTCGATCCACGGAGAGTTCGAACTCAAAATCTAAAGGTTTCTAAATGCCCAGAAAATCGAAAAAAATCAGATCTTCGTCCAAATAATTTCTACGGACCTCCCACTCGCTCACATTAATACTATCGATATCTGATATCCATATGTGCGATTGCTGTACTTTTTCCTTGACTAGAAACTGAAAAAACGAAAACTTCCCTGATTTTCTCAAAGCAATGCTGAGCCGTTTTTGCATATGTAGTTCTATACTACAAGCCTAGGTAAGTATAACCATAGATTTCCAGCCTATTTCGAGCGGTAGTTTTCGAGAAATGTCGATTTTAGCACTGAAGCTGAAACGAAAAAATCCGAATTCGTTATTTTTCGAAAACTACCGCTTGGAATGGGCTGAAAATCTACAGTTATACTTACCTAGGCTTGTAGTATAGAACTACATATGCAAAAACGGCTCAGCATTGCTTTGAGAAAATCAGGGAAATTTTCGTTTTCTCAGTTTCCAGTCAGGGAAAAAATACGGCAATCGCACATATGGATATCAGATATCGATAGTATTGATGTGAGCGAGTGGGAGGTCCGTAGAAATTATTTGGACGAAGATCTGATTTTTTTCGATTTTCTGGGCATTTGGAAATCTTTAGATTTTGAGTTCGAACTCTCCGTGGATCGAGCATATCGCAAAGACATGAGTGCCTTCTTGTAGAGCTTGCTTTGCTCTATCGAACAGTACCCCTTACCCTTTGTTGGGTTGAGTCTGGTTGCTTTGTTAAAGCAAGCAAATAAAAAACGACATTATTTTCTTGACAATCTAATAGTATTGAGAAGTATTACTTTACAATAACCTATGTATGTACTCACTATGACATGCATATATCAATGATCTATGTACCAATTCAATTTTTGATTTTTGAGTAATATTGTGATTTATGCTGTCTGGAAATGCCCTAACTATGCCATAACAATCTATGTTGAGCGAGTGTTTCCTCAGGAAACTGAAATTCTATCATTTTATGTGACAGCAATGCTGTAGAACATTGACGTGTCCATTTTCCAATAACAATGATGACACTGTGAATGACAAAAGTAAACAATGACTCTGGAAAAGATTCTTTATGTGTAGATCCATCATATGTTTGTTTTTCTCCGTCGCTGATTGTCTCGTCTGTTCCAGTTGCTGACTCAACGAATCAGTCAAAAATGCTGAAGTTGAAATTGTTTGGAGGAAAGGAAAAGGATAAAAAGGACGCTACGCCGGTCGCATCTCCAGCAGCGGTACGTCCTACTCCACATATTTTAATTTTTTTCATTCAAAAGCACTGTCTACCCATGGTTGAAATTGGTCAAATTTTGAGACTAAGTAATCGCCCAAGTTCCGTTGCAAAAGGAGGATTCCGAAGCGAAAAAATGGCTCCAGAAGGTACAAGCGGCCTAGGCAGCACCGCCCATCAACGTGGGTGGTCTGACGGTATTTAGTCCAAAACTAGGCTATAGGATATAGAAATGTCAAAAACCTTGTAATCATAAGGAACGAAAGATTTTTGGCAACTCTAGATACATTGAAGCCGGATTTTGGACATTTCTCTTCGGGACCACCCAAGTTGATGGGCGGGGCTACCTGGACCGCTTCTACCTTTTAAAGCGATTTTCTCGCTTCGGATTTGACCAATTGCAGCTGGACTTGGGCGATTACTTAGTTAGGGGCCCGCTATCAAAATCTCGTCAACTGCAATTTGTTTGGATTGACAAAGTCACGCTCTTAGGGGAAGGGGGTAGTCTAGCCATTTTCTGTAAGATTATTATTTTAGACAAGGAAGTCCTCGAACTTGGTCGCACCAAAGTCGAGCGGTTTGGCCAAACCAAAATCGGCCAGCGAACTCAAACCGCCTTCAAGAATTGCTGCACCTAAAAAGAAGGAGGTAAGCACGACATCTGGCACTTTCGCCCCGATCTTCTATGAAAGAAAGAACCAAAATAGCAATAAGGACTACATCACCATTTGTCATTATGTGCTAGTTTGCCGGTGCAGCCCGTAAAGCTTCTGCAATGCTACTATAAAGACTCCTTTGGGAGTTCTCAGGTTATTTGTCAGTGTCTACGAGTGTGTTCCTACTGATCACTCGAAGTGATATGAAGTCGAGCAAACGCCTCCCCCACACTCATTACTTTACGCGATCTTAGCATATCTTCCAATTTTTCATTTTGGACAAGTTTGCACAATTTTTCGTCTTTTGGACGAGTTCTGACATCAGTCGCTCACAAGGGTCAAAATATAGTTCTTGCTTCGTCAAGCTTTATAGGTGACCAAAATTAAGTGTGATTTTTATTCCATGATTTTCTGGTCGGAAAAAGCGCTTTTTATAGTCACCATTTTCTAGGAATACGGTCAAAGTACGGTAGCTTTTTACGTCAAAGATAAAATTTTGACGAATTTTTTTATATTTGGAATTCAAGATGAATTGTACGCGAAAGATTCTATAACCGATGTTTTTTAAAATTCGAACAATTCTAGTCTTTCAAGCCTCAAACATTTTCAAATTTTTCGATTTATAGAGAAATTCTTCGGGTCAAAGTAATGCGCTAAATATCTACCGTAATCCTACAGTAATAACAAATCAGGGCGCAATTTATCCATCAAGACCCATCATCTCATTGGAAGACTATTCCTCTCGCAGCTATGATTTTAAAAAATTGCTTTTGCATGTCTAAAAAACTGGAAAAAATCTTATATTTCCTTAAGCCTCGAAAATTGATATTTACTTTTTGAAACACCCTTTAGGTCGAAGTATTGCGCTACAGATTGACCATGGATCAGCAAGCAAAAAGTACCTTGTATTTTTTTGAATAAAACTGATGTTCTAGTGTAGCTAACACAACAAAAAAGCTCAATTTTCTGCAAAACTTTATGTCACAAAAAGTCGAGATGTCGGAGTTCTGTAATATGACACCTAGGCTTTTTTCTATTCGGGCGAAGGTTAGGGCTTCTCTTTCTTGCAGCTCGTTGTCAGCATACGTGTACATCATCTTAACACTCACACCTTGTTTCATGGTCACATCTCCGCTATTTGAGGAGATACCGTATTCCTACAGTGATCACTTGCAAGATTGAATTATGGACCCTTAAGTCAATTTCTCCCGTGAAAATTCATTGGAGGCCAAAGCTCGAAAACTTGCCCCTATAATATCCCAGCAAAAACCTGCCGTAAACAGCGCATTCTCTCACGGTGCTAGCGTGATGGTGACCGTGCTTTTGTGCAGTCCGCAAATTTGCGTGCGAAGAAGCGGCACACAACAAGTTTTGCTCCCCTTTCGAGTTCAAACGACTATATAGGCTCGCATGGCTTGATTTATGATTATAATCGTTAATTCCAATTTATAGCTCCTACTTTGTCGAGAAATTAGGTAAATGTCCCGTAATGCACACGGGAAGTAGATATTTGCGTGCGGAAGTGATTGGTAATAATTTATATGAGCAGACGGGGCGCCAGCTTTTTTGCGCGCGGCGACGGACCCCGTGGCCGGCGCAACACGCGGTCGCGTGTGTCACCTTCCCCCCCCCCTTCCTCCCCTAAGTTAGGGATCGCCGATGATCATTTATAAGCTCGCTTTCTTCTTTAGTATTGGCTCGCGGCGATCTCCAAACAGCTAATGTTACGCGAGTTTTTACACCCCGGACTCATCATAAGTCGTGCCGCACGGAAGTTGTAATGGTCCGCGCAGCTTTCGTTAGCGGTGCTCTGTGAGTTGGGTGAAGCTCCTTGTGAGATTTTCAAACATACTGGCGTTTTTCAAGTTTCTCAGAAATTTAGAATCCCTTCCCAATGTTATAGATTTTTTTGTTTGGTTATACCCGGCAAGAGTATGAGCATTTTCCTGTATTCTTTGTTTACTTGGTTGTGATGCACATGGTGCAGCACCTGCCCTAGTTCAAATTTAAGCTCAATATTCGCTTATGGAAAGCAAAATTCAGAGTAACCCCAATTTTAGAGAAAGTTGAGAATTTTTTGATATTGTTTGTTCCAATTGGCCGTGCTGCACATGCTGCATCACGCTGACCACATTCAAGCTCAAACCCTTTAGTTCTTATGGATCAATTCCGTTCTTGAAGTGACTTCTAAACTACATGTTGGGAATTTTTAAGACTTTTGGTTGCTCTCGTGCTGCACATGGTGCAGCATGCCGTTAAAAAAAATTTCTGGTCCACTTGAATCATCTACTACAAGTAAGATGACTTTCGACTTTGCTCTTATACTTGCCCACAGACTTTGATTATAAAAAGATGTCGATCCAATTGGTCTTACGGTAGGACTACGATAATCGTATGGTTGAAATTTCAAGTTCGTTATGACGTTCCCTCATTACAGTCTTTTCTAACAACAAGAAGTTTTCCAAATACCGTACCACGGTAAATGATATTGTTTAATAAGGTTGTTTACTTATACGGTAGTCCTGCAATTTGATTCTTGAACTTGCGAAAAATCTTCCTCACATCGTTTTGTGCTACAAATCAAAGTCCACATGACACTTGTGCAAGTGTTTGCACTTAAACTCTGATTGTTTGTTTGGAAACTTCCAGCAATCTCATGCTATGGACTTTTCACTCCTCAGCAATTATGTACGGAGAAAAAGCGTGCAGTTTGTGATGGGAATGGGAAGTCATATGATTGTTTGAGGCGAAAGTTCGCTCAAGCAGTGTCTGTCTTCAGTGTTATCTTGAAGTTTGGAACTTTCGGCAGTCTAATTAAATGTTAGTATTAAGTAATGTAAGATACTACATGAATATTTGTTGACTATCAAACTAGAAAGCTAGAATTTTCTTTTTCAAATTTCCGAACGTATTTTGCGTACTATAAACTGGGTATTCTGAAGCCTCGAATCCTCTATATTTTCCCGAAATTTCTCTTTACAAAAAGTGCTCTTTTTACTACTGGAATGTCGAAAATATATAATGACACGCAATCAATCACTTACTGCTGATTGATCATTTTTTCTAACATCTAACCGGTTCTAAAGTGAAAACAAATTCCAGATGTTTGCATGATTTGTGAGCAGTTGCTGTTTAGCCCCCTCTTGTTCCATTTTGTAGCCTCAGTCTTTTCTTACTGGAAGCACAGATATGTAGTATAAATCATTATTTCCACGGCGGCTAAAAAATTTTTACCTTGATTTTCTATGAAAAAATCCAAGAATACCAGGTGATCAATCAACGCAATATGTTTTTGCCTTTCCTACTATCTTATGCTACGATGTCGTCCAAAAGATAATTCCACAAACTTATTATAGTACTTTTCTTGGTTTCGTTTACGTTTCTCCCCAAGCACATGCCCCTTGTTGGCTGCTTCAACTAAAAATACTATGTTCACTATTGTAGCCTATGAGCCTATGAAGCAAGTCTCATTTACTTTGACTCAGTTTTTCTGCATTTCTTATTCGTATTAGATAAAGCACAATCGAGATGACAAATGTGACAGAGACAAAAACAACGATATAGAGCCTTGCTCTCAATTTTATACCCTAGGGAAAACGAACTAGAGTGACAGAGATAAGAAGCTTATAGCAAATAACAATTTTTATATCCATATTTTTTTGTAATCCACAAGAGGAATCGAATCGACTTCTTCCAGAACTTTCTAATTATTCGGCTAATGGCGAGGGAGTGAAATAAAAATTGTAAACTTCTCATAATTAGCAAATTTTCAAATCTTTTGTCGCAAAGCAAAATAAACTCTTTATCAAAAAAGCATAACTAACCAATCATATTTGATCATCATTGAAATGCCACGCAATTATTTGTGTCAAAATCACTCAGTCAGTTTATGACAAATATGTCAAATTCAAAAACATTCCTATTGCAAATAATATTTCCCAAGAAGTTTATCAAAATTGTGTCGTCGAAATAATGGTAAATGGCAGGGTGACAGATTCTTCGGGGGTTAGGTATGATTTTCAAAGATGCCTTTTTTTCTTGTTCACATTCTTTACAAAAAGACACCTTTTGGGGGGTTCCGTAAAATTTTGTGCTCATATTCTAATCTCCAAAAAAATATTAACATGTTATTAAACAAAAATCTGAATCCTTGTATCTTTGAAAATATCTCATTTCACATCTGGAAACAGATCACTTGTCTGTGTCGCCCACCATATATGTATTTCGCTCCCATTAGCCAGCCTCTTTTTGCAAATGTGCGGGGGAAGGCAAGGTATTTTTAAGTATTTTTGATTTTTTCACCACTTTCATCTTGGAAACAGAATAGCTCGAAGGTATTGCTGCGGGCAGCGAGCAATCATCCTTCGAAAGCTAAATTGCAATAAGGTTCTCCCTTTTGCATTTTCAACTTTATTTTTTCAAGTGCTTCAAGTCCACTGACCCTCCCATATGATAAGCTCAAGAACAAAAGACGTTAGCCGTGTTTTCTCGAATAAGAGAAGCAATTCGACGCGCCATTACTTATTCTAACGACTTTTCGCTATGGTCAATTAGTGGTACGAGAGCCTGCGCATAGCCTTGCGGCCTTTGTACTAAACTCAATTAGATTGATGTGTCTCGGCTCCATCCAGCTAATTTCCCTCATTTTCACTTTTTTCCAGGCTTTCTTGGAAAAAAATCATTTCCCAAGCTCTTTCCCATTTCAGACGCAACACGTGCAATTCCGAGCGCCGGCAATTAGAACTCCGTCCGCTGCCAGCGCTGATCTTACGGCGGAGAAGAAGCGGTATGAAAAACTCGTACATTCTTTGTTCATTCATATAAAATCAAGTGTGCTGCTTGGCACCTTGCCAGAGCTTTGTTTGAAATGTACGAATCTTTTGTGAAGTTTTTTTCTCTTTTAGTACATCGAAGAGTAGCGAGGAGGATTCAGCCTATGCTGGATTTGGTAGCACAAGCCCTGCATCGTCTACACAAAGCTCAATGAGCTTGCAGTCGAATTCATCAAAGGTGAGGTTTTGGTTTTTGGGGAGGGGGAAGGGGGGGGGGGGGAGGGAGGGGGAATAAATATTTAACAAGAAGGTTTGGTTAGGCTAATGTGCAAAATACTGCAAGTGCGATTTTTGTGCGAAATGATTTTATAGAATTTTTAAGACAACCGTTCTCGTTTTACTTTACTTCATCGTTTTCAACAAAAATGATTTTCGGTTGGTCCATCTTTAACTGCTCCAAAGAAAGAATTGAATATGTCAAGTTAATCACTACCAAGAAGATCACCATCTTTTGGTCACTTTTTATCTAATAAATACTTACAAAAATTTCTCCAACACTTCATATTTGCAAGATTTTTTTTCGGACCTGACGCCCCCCCCCCCCCCTTGAAAATAAGTGAACTATGCTCTTCTTGCAAAAATTTATAACTACGATCGCGTGCCAAAGCAGCTGAAGAAGTGTCGTTTGAGTGTTTTCGCATATTCCATCAACTTCACCTTTTTTGTTCGGTTTCGTGATGGGCTGGTAATTACGCATGCTGTTGAAAAAAATTGATGTGCTAACGTTTAACCACGCACTTTCCATGAAAATTGCTGAAACTTTCACAGTTCAGAACCCATATACCCACTATACCCATATAAGGCATCTCTTCAATATACTATGTATTTCGTAGTTACTGGGAATCTGGCTGCTCGCTGCCAATCTCTTGGCTCAAGAAGATTAAAAAAAACTTGTCATCAATTTAATAGCCTTTATCCTTACCTTTTGACAGAACACTTAAATTTATACTTAGATTAAAATTACTTTATTTACTATAGCACTCAAAAAATTACTTTATAATCTCAATGAACATCTGCGTTTGAGGGTTCTCATGACGCTGAATGTCAGGCAGCGCCTATTGTCGAGGAAAAACCGGAAACCCCTGAGCCAGTAATGAAAAGGCGAGGAAGCGATTGTCAGGTTGGTGCATGGAAGATTTCCATAGAAAAGAGGAAAATTTCCCATGTCGGGCTCTTAACAAAAATTTTGCAAATAGAAAAAATGACCTATTATCCCAGATTTGAGTTTAAGATTTAATGAAAACCTCTTTAGGATAAACCTACCATGGCTGTGAAAGGCATGTCGGCTCGGCTTCCACCAACAACTGAGAAGAGCGAGCCAGAAACTGAACCGGAAACACCAAAGACAGAAATACCAGAAATCAAGAAGGCGCTACCAAGTCCAACGGTTGGAGTGGTGAGCCCAATGCTCAGTCAACGACGGATCGAGACGTTGGGTCAGTTCATGATAATTGGTAACATAGAGATTTACAGTAAACATGGAAGTGTTCTAAAAAAGTTACTGATTTCAGCAAACTTCGAGCTTCATTGGATTTTTTTGAACAATTTTGCAGACATGATTTTCCTTCAAAAATAAAGAAGAACGTCTTTCGTTTGAAACTTATTATGTTATCAGCTTTTCGTGAGATCGTACAAGAATTCTAAGCAATTTACAAGGCGGATTTTGCTCTAAGAAACCCTAAGCACCTTACTTTGTCTTTTTCAACTTCCTATTAACCAAAGGACCATGTAGGCCATGAAAAAGTTTATCTGCAAAAATGAGAAACCTTCAAAGTGATTAATGTACGTATAATCTTCTCAAAAGGTATTATAGCTGAGTCATGCTTAGCGAATAGAATCCCTATGGTTTTGCAAATAGCCTTGGAAAGTGCTCATAGCATAATCTTCATTGAAAAAAGGTCCTGGCACGAACAGTGTTCATCCGGCTTTCCAAAAGGTAAATAATGTTCTGTAGCTAGCAATTCTCATGTAATAGTCAAGGTAGAGTCAATGTGAGAGATTTGGCTCTGCGCGTAAACGTGAGCAAATTTTAGATTCCCAGTTTGTGTGTAATTGCACAACATGGAATATCTGTAAGATGAGTTCGCTATATACGTCTTTATATCATTAATTTTGAGTAATTTAACAGTCACTGTAATTTCAGCACCTTAGCTTGTCTAACACCGTAATCGCCTGAATTGACCAATCAGGGATCGATAAACCACTACCGTACTCACACCGGTCAATAGCAGGAAAATCATTATAGATATCTACTGTTTTGTGCCAGGATTAATTAGGCAATTCTATAATAGTTTGTCTGTTACCGTAATCGAAACTGACCAATCAGAAGTCGATAAATCTGCTACTGTAACCGCGCGGACCAATAACCAAAAAATCATTGTATCGATTGCTTTCAGTGCCAGAACCACCAAATCTCAAGCCCCCTCCAGCTCCTGTTGAATGTGAACCATCTTCATCAACGAAACCCGTCGAAAAGAAAGCGCCGTAAGTATATTTTATCTGCTACCGACAGTTGGCTTCGTCTGGCGACTGTGAGCGACAGTACGCGACCGTATAAACGCTTTATAGGCCGGTACCAAGTCGCTCGGGATCACGTGTGGAGACGACATTCGAATGTACACCTCCAGCAATGCCACCTATACGACAACCGCCAGCGTATCAGCAGTTAGTAGAACAAGGAAGGATACACCGTAGTCGACTGGGTACGGTAGTATTACGGTTTTTATCGATTTTTTGGGCCTGATTATGAGACTGGAAGCGCAATGATGGTTATGAGAGAATGAGACGAGATTTTACTGCCGTTTTTCGCTACAGGAGTCGAATGCTATAGTTTGGGATAAAAACCTGTTTAGATAATTTATAATCTTTACAACTAGTCCCTTATACGCGCTTAATCGTTAAGGTACTCCTAAAACAAGGTGTATCTCTCGTGCCAGTCACCACCATGTCAATGACGAACGAGTATCTGCTCCTCTTATAGAGCGAATAGAGCGGCAGATTAACCCGTGCGCATATTGTTCGAGCTTTGGCGGTTCGGGTTATTCTTGCCATATGTTTTTGATTAGCAACGTTTAGTTTTTGGGTCTAAGAAATTGTTATGTTCGAGAAAGTCTTTGATCTTGTCGAGATGAATTAGAGGCTGCAAGGGGCCTCGAAAACCTCGAAAACGAGATTTTTCGAGAAATCTCAATGAATGGCAATCTTCGGGAATATCTTTTTCCCCTCCCTCCATCTTCCCTCTTCCAAAATCCTAAGATTTAGAATTACCTTTTTTAGTGCGATTTACATAACTTCATACTCAAACCCAACTCTTTACATAACTTCATACTCAAACCCAACTCTTCTACCCCAAAAAATTACTGACTACTTTAGTTCTTTCTTGCCAAGACCCCACCCCATCTTGACTTGTTGCTTTCAATTTTCGTATATACTCTCTCACTTTCAAGACAGCTAAATGACAAATGAGTTTGTCACTGCTGGAAGCTTTGTTTTGTTCATAAATCAACAACAAGTCGTTTTTTCGCCACGAAAAAATAGTACGATTGCCTGCTGTCTCCTTGGCTTCGGGCGTAAACTTTCAGCTGCTAGAGATCATCTTGCAAGAGCTGGACACACTTTCGAACGATCTTCAACAATTCTTTCACGTTCTTTAACTCATAGGATCAAAGGCCAACATGCAAGAAATCATTAGAGCCTCGAGACATTTGAGCTTAACCACAACAAATTTCACGAATTTTCAATCCTCCTGATGTGAATTTGTTCCCAGGTTCGAAAATTTAGCTTGATTTTAATTGCTAGAATAACTTTTAGAGCACCCTTGATGGTCCACCAATACTGAGTTTTTTTGAAATCGACAGCTCCTAATTCAAAGCTTTTAGCATGATTGAAATCACATACATGGAATTTCTCGAGATTCTGTCCTGAAAAAATGAAAAATGGACTTTTTCAAACTTTTACTCAAAACTGTTCAAGCCCATGAGTCTCTATACTAATTTTCTAAATAATCTCAGTCTTTTACAAGTAAACAGCTCAATGGACCTTCACAACGTTAGATAACCCCAATGTATGAGTGTTCCTTGAGAAGTTAACAGGTTCTGGAGCTGAAGTGGCCAGGCAAAGGAAAAGCTGCCTTATTCTTTGTCATCTTATTAGACTAAACGTATAGTATGACGTTCCTGACGTCAGCGAATTTTTTATCACAGTACTAATCATCGTTAACACCTTTTTTCTCTAGCTATGCGCGCCGAATGTCAGGTACGAACAGCTGGCAAGGGACAAACTGAAAATGATCTGATGACTAGTGCGGCTCTTGATAGTTAAAACATACTATACTATCGTAAAAATGACTAAAACATTCATGGCGTATGACTAAAGAGCGGTGACGAGGCAATGAATGAAAAGTGGAAGAAAAAGGTGTTTGTCAGGAAACGTACAAATGCTAGGATTTTGGACCATGGAGACATTACAAGGCCACTAGTCCATGAAAGCACTCCGGACAGGCTTTTCCTACCCCATTGCCTTCTCTTCCTTTCCTCTTCTCCTCACTCCTTTCCCCCCCCCCCCCCTCCTTCTTCGGGAGGAATTTTTTTAGACACGTGCTAATCCTATAAATGACCTGACATGGTAGAGAATAACTTTGTTTGCGATCATACAAGCGTAAGAGAGGTCATTAGCGTACGGGAGAGACCATATTAACCAAAAAACACGCGTAACGGGTAATTAGTACTGGTCAGCTGATCATTATCTTCGAGTTCGGGCATTTCGGGTTGAGGGGGAGGAGCGGGAGCGAAAAAATCCTCTGAAATATCGCTTGCCAGAGCCACTGAGTTCGGTGAATAAGCTATATTTTACAGATATATTTTTGAAAGTTGCTTGATCTTTATGGAGGTTCCATTCCGTTCTATACCCCCTCTCCTCCTCCCCCCTCCCACGATTTTTTAACTCTGATGCAAAGATTTCCTCTAGAGGTTTTTTCCATTAACATAGGGTAGTACACAAGGATACCCTGATGCAATTCAATGTTTTCATACAGTCTGGAAACTTCATTTTTTCTCCCCCTCCCTCCCTCCCCCCCCCCCCCACCTTTTCAACCTCATCCAAGAAATTTTCTCTGGAAATTCTTTTCTACCAGCATACAAAGGTAGGATAAAATATCTTCTCAAAATAAGTGTTTTCAACCAGTAAAATTCCACACATTCATTTTTTTCTCTTCTACCTTTTCTACCCCTCCCCCTCCCCAAAATTTCCCCCGCCCATTTCTGCAAATCCATGACAGCTATTCTGCACCAGCTAACTCAATGTGCACTGTTGTGACTATTTGTGCCAGTTGCCCTAGTCTATCGAGCCATAAATTCGTTACAGCATCATAATCACCCAATCATCGTAGCAATAATGAAATTATGTTGAATGTTGCTGTTCACGGGGCATAAATTCACTCACCAAGCTGTCAGAAGATTCTAAAAGCTGTTATGGGACGGTTGGGGCAAAGACTTTCTCTTATTTCCTAGGGAATTTCCAGATTGGGCAATTGGATAGAAAGCAACATCTCGTCCAGTTTATTTCCTCTTTCATGTATTGCTCCATAATTCTATCTAATCTTAAGTTTCTCCCAAATGAGATCATAAGAAAGCCCCTCGGAAAACTCGTCCTTCCGCATTCTCCTTGACACTCGTGCAACTTGCCCCTCCTTTCCTTTCCCTCCTCCGAACCTCGCCATTATACTGATATTGTCCACCGTTGACTATGTATTGTTCACCCGGCGAGCAAAGCCGATTGAATATTGCGGACCACCTTGAGCGCAGCTCGGTCTCACTCAGTCCATTCTTATTGTGTAACTGTCACTCGCTTGTCTCAGTTAAGGGCCTGAAATTTGGAAAATTGGTCGCTTCCGTTTTTTTCATAAATAAATTCCAGTTTTTGAAAGTTCATATCTAGTCCAAATTATTTCCACAAACTTTAGCGCCTTTTCTATCTCATGGAAGTTACAGACATTATTATTCCGCATTTGCGAACAATTTTTGTGTGGTTGAAAAGGAAAATTTTACACTTTTGACTTGAAATTGAACACTTTTGTAATTGACAATCTGCTTTAGCTCTCCTTACTTCTATTGAGACATGAGTCCAAGCCTTAAAAATTGAAAATATGAATTCATTCTTTCCCAAGTTACTGCTTTTCCAAAAAATTCCCTTTGCAAAAAATTATAACTTGAAGTCTCATAAATTTTCTGCGAAAGCCTTGGTAAAAAATCGAACAAAAGATTTTGTTTTCCAAATTTTGATACAAAAAGGCGTTTAACAAAAATGCTTGAATATTCTATATTGACAAGTAGATTAATTCTAGAAATTCATAGAACCTCAGGAGCTTGCCGTCTATTTTGCTAATTTATGAATTTAAATAATTCAGAGTGCATATGAATGGCGTGTTAGAGAATTCGAGATTTTTTGATTTTTTGTAGAGACTTCGGTCAGTCAAGTGGCTTATATAGTGTCTGTCTTATAGCAAATCCGACATCATTTCTTTCTAAATTTTAAGCACAGCTGCTGATAGCCTATAAGGAGAAATATTAGAGAAATTGCCGATTTTTCGGATTTTCCTTTGCAGGTTTAGAAATAATGGAGAACTTTAAAATGGTAATGATTTCATCAAGTTGTACCTCCAAAACGCAAAATATGTTTGTCTTTTTTGTTGTACTTTGCTGCATTGTCACTAATTCTGGTATATCATTAAAAGAAGTTTAATAATTCTGATTTTTGAGTACTTCATGCAGTTGATAAAGAAGATTGTTTGCTCAGGACTTTTATGGCACTAAATTTGATCGACCCAATCTGTTTTGCTATTCCACAACGCACTTTGCTGCATGTACTTCAAAACCATGCAATTTTCTTATCTCAAATTACTCATGACTCAGACCATCCATTTTCTGCAAAACCACTTTTAAGTCGAGTTATCAAGGATTTCCTGCACTTTTGCTGCAAGAACCAGCAATTTACGCTTTGTTGACTTCTTAGTGCAGTGAACTCTTTCGAAGATCATATTTCCAATTTTGTAGGCCAGTTCGTCGATTCGTCAACTAGCGAAGATTCGTTGGACTCGGTCTCAACGACAATTCGCATTCAGCCACAAGCGACTGGCTACAGTTCCGAAGGAAATACATTAGAGCGAAGTGAACGAGCGAGAACTGTTGGTGAGTTCAAATCAAACACTAGATTACCAAAAAATAGAGAATTTTATGGTCTTCTTCAATGGATTAACAAAATCTGTTGAACACTGGATAATGGAAAAGTTCAATATAATCTTCGTCAAAACTCCAACAAAACGCCGAAGCTATATGAAATAATTGCTGCACGATAATAAAAAATAATGTGTAGTATAAAATGATATCCACTGCAGTAAGTAAACGCTGATTGCCTACAGAGAAAGTTCGAAATAATTCGATTTTTTCTGAGAAAATTTCAGTAATTCTTCTTTGTAGGGAAAATTCAAGAAATACTATAACTTTTCTAACAAAATCAGATAAAACTTGCTGAAACTTTCGAACAAGGCAAATAGAAAATTAACTCTAGAAGGTTGAGGAAAATCCGCTGAAAATTGTCCTCTTTGGAAAATTCAGACAAAGTTTAAGCTTATGTTTTTATTTTCTGAGAAGATTGAAAAAAATTGAAATTAGATAAATAAATAAATAAATATGAATAAATTCAATATTCCTTCAATAAATATGCTACAAATTTCCAGCAAGAACTAAAAATCCATGAAAATCAAACATTTTGGGAAAATTGCCTGGTGTACATAGTTTTCCATAAAAATAAATCTAACTATTTTTCTCTTTCTTTGGATTCGAAGCAAAATAGTGAGTTTAGATATATTATTTACACTTATTAGCATTGTTGTTATTATTTTGATTTTTATTGACAACAAAATCTTTTATTACTTACAGTGATAAAGCCTTTTTCACTCTCAGAGTTTTCTTATTTTCTTATTTGTTTTTCAGAAAAAATACTTCAATGTCGCTATCCCCTCCCCCCCCCTCTCGAGTAAAATCGAGTTTTTCGTTTTTCATCTCACACATTTTTGTGTGTGTTGCAAAACATCAAAGGCGAAGCCGCTGTCGCTTGGCAGCGGTAGCTGAGTGCGCATCGTTTTGCCAGATATGCATCTAAACGATGCTTAAATGGCCACGGCAACCAGATGTTTTGAAGTTTTATCATTTTCAATGTTAGAGAGGAGACAGAGCTTACCATTTCGTTACAGTTCATTCTGGTCTTCGCTCACTAGAGAAGCTGCGTTACCGTTATTTCTCCGACCTTCATTTGCGTACTTTTAATTTTTTCTTTATAATTTACGGTTTCAGCAGCATCATATACCGGTGAAAAATTTGGTGTGGTGATAAACACTTCAGACAGGGCCCGGCACAGATCGTTTGGAAGCAGGCTGGGCTTCGTTTTTGAAGCAAACAGGAAAGGGGATATCGTTTTTGACGAGTTGGAACCGAGCACCAAGAATAAGCGCCATTTAGTCGAACACAAGCTTTTCGGACAGGTTATCACACGATTGACATGCTCTGTCGTGCATGCGAAAAGTGCGCGCGATTTGAAAGCAAGGCTTAAATAAACAAATTGTTTGTTTACAGTGCACACAGAAGCATACGACACGAAAATTGAACTGTATGTATAGAAAATTATTTAAAGTATTATTTAAAAAGATTTGAAAACTTATGTGAAGTAATACCTTTTCCAAAATTAGATCGTCTCCAGACGGCCACCAGACGATCTGAGATCGTCTGGAGCATATATTTTCGTCACTTCACATAAGTTTCGGGTCTTTTTAGCATGGCGGATTCCCCGGTCAAAAATCTATCCCTGAGCATAAGGACATTTTCGTATCGTTGCCTTTCCTTTGTTTTTTGACTTCGTTTCTTCTCGCTTTGTTAAATATCGCGCTCTAATGCCAAAGTCTTGTGCATGCGTAGTATACAGCTCCAATTTGGATTTTCACTCTTATCTTATGTCTTTTCTTTTAGACTAATAAATCTTTCTTGTTTTCATCTTCTCCTAAGCATGGAGGTCAAAGGGGACTTCGTAAAACTTCCGAAAGTCAGGGGAGACTTCGTTTTCAGAAACCCTAGAAACCGACTCGTACCGGGCCTTGACTTTGGACCAAAAGTTCGTCATCGAGAGTAAAACAGGTTCTACCTGGACACATACTGTTGTGATAGCAGTCGTACAGCACCTTTTCTGAAGCGAATTTTGTTTCATCTAAATTTAAAAGGTTTTTCATCTAAAATAATCCGCTAATTTTTGGACCATTGGCAAAAAGTCTTTAATATTTTGAAATTGTGGCTTGTGAAAATTTACCAACATGTAATACATTCGTAGAACTTCTCAATAAATCATTCTATTCTAAGCTTTGTGGTTGGTCATTCTCAGTATAGAAGTTTTCTAAATACGCGCAGCAATGATGCCTACCAAACTAAGCTATTTCCTTGATGGTTTGCCAAGGCTTTATATTTTTAGCTTGGAAGACTCTAATCTGCAAAATATCCATGTCGGTCACGTGTAAAAAGTTTCACAGCGATTTTTGATGACAGTAGAAATTTTTTTGAAATTCCTTGTAAAAGATATTTCGAATGGTAGAAAAAAATTCGAGCCCGAATCTTGACAGAAAGATATTGTTTGCAATCTAGCGCATCTTTGAGAGACTCTTAATTCGGCAAGAATAGATTTTCGCAAGTTTTTTTATGCGCTATGGCTTCATAAGAGTAGATTAACCTGAAGTAAAAGTTTCTGAAAATACTACGAGAAGCTGTTCCTGCAAGAGTTTTTATAGAATTGGTAACTTATAATGAAAGTCATCCTGTAAGCTTTGCTATCAGAACTATAAAGATCGAATATGTTCCATTTCCATCACATTTCTCAGAAACAAAAGATATTATTATTTTATACATGTTCAAAATGGTTCCGCTGCAACTTTGAGGAAAAATCCGGGAGTTTCTATGATTTTCTATCAACTTCGAATATCTGTAACAATCTAAAGCGAAAGCTAGTAAATAATATAACTTTTCATCCGAAAAATATGGTAAATGACGTGATTGGATAAAATAATTGTCCCCTCGGTTTATTACAATCTTTCACCATGCAAATCCCAAATTTCTTAACCCAGCAAATCCACTGGAGTAAAACTTAAGCAAGCCAAATAAAGTTAAAGTTTTTTCTCCCATCGAAGTACATATGCATGCGATGTGAATTAGGAATGCATCAGCGGCAATGATTACCTTGTACCCATAGGTGAACAAGTTTTTTTGCGCGCTCTTGGGTAAGAAAAAGCTAACTTTCCGCATACTCAAGCGCGTAAAAAGTTGGAGTACGTTTAGAAGAGGTTCATGGGTGGACCTCTTTAACGCTGAAATTTGGCCAAAACTTGCGAAAAAGCAGAGCACCGAACTCTCATAGAAGGGCATAGATTCTGATATAACGGATTTGAAACAGAAATATAATATTAAAGTCGATGTCATACCGGTATTAGAGTGATAAGTTTCGAACATAAGAGAATGTGAGATTTTATGTTCGAATGTAGAATTGGGAGACTGCCAAATTTTTAAACTTTAGCTATTGAAGACGAGGTCTGGAAACTGTGTAATACAGAATAAATCAAACTTGTTCGCTTTGAAAAGTTGAAATTCGAAAAACTGGAAAAAATACTAAACATTGAAATAAAAGACATGCGCAGGGATATGATACCAATCATTATAAAAGTTTTTTGTGAAACTGGAAATTTCTTGGGAACTTCAGAAACATTAATTTCAGTTCCTCAATTTCACTGCAGATTTTGCTTGGCTTTGTTTCTATTTTATTATTTTTCTTTTTGTGAATACAACAGATAAAAGCATTAGAAATTAGTTTGCAAATATTTATGATGAAGAAACCAGCTAACAAGAGAAGCTTGATTACGCTCTAAGATAAAAATTTGATTTATACCTGTATCTGTAAAAAATGTATCTCACGGGCGAGAAATAGTGAAAAATAAATGTGAAGTTGCAGTTTCTTTTGCTTTGAATTTCTAGGTTTATGCGTTTTGATATTGCAACAAGCTGAGAAAGGTAAGAATACATAATGGAAGTGAAAATTTCAAAGCACAAAAACAAAATAGGCACAAAAAATAACATGCATCATTCGTTACAAATTTGATTTCGATTATCTAATTGTAGTGTTAAACCCTCTTCATGTTCTAATTTTGTTATAAACTTTTCTTTTCAGAACCATCTGGCTACATTTCCGAGGGAGGCATAGCGATCTACGAAAAAATGCAAGCACGTCTGAGAGAATATCGAGATAGCATGCGTCGAGGGCATTTGGACTATAATGACAGGTTTGTTCGTTGTAGAAATTTCTACAAAATTGGCACTTATCCTCCTCGACACAGTTCCGTGCAAAGAAAGTAGAGGTTTTTGCACATGCGACGTTTTCGCGAAGCCCCGACAGCGTTCCCGGAGTCCAAATTTTCTATGCAAAAGTTTTCTGTAAAAAACACTCTTCTTTATTTGTTGTAAAAAGAACATGCACATTTTTGTACTATCAATGAGTTTTCAGTGCCCAAAGCGTTCTTCGAGTCCTCAATACTTTTCATTCAGGATCCCTCTCCCCAACCTAGTTATAACTCCTTTCACTCCGATTTCTATACAGAAATGCTCATTTTTTCCAAACGTAAGGGTTTTCCCGATCCTAAAAGCGCCCACAAAGTCCATCAAAATTTTCCTGGTGGAATTCCTTAGAACCTTCCGCCTAGTCCTTTGATTTTTTCCTGCATAGGACGAATATATTGGGCACTAGTCTTGTAAGTCCGCGAAGTGTTTCGGGGAGGCCCCGCAAATTCCACTTTTTGGAAAATCTCCAAAAGAATCTCCCTCTCATTTCAATGCAGTAAGAATTTTTTGACGAAAAAGTATGCATTTTTGAACTTGAAGTTTCTTTCCATTTCCCAAAGCCTTCCGGAGTCCCTCCAAATCTTCCCTAAATGTCCCATAAGTATATGCGCGAACATCGCCTCGATTTGCCTCTAAATCGGGCTTTGTGGCATCGGAAGTGAACGCTCTCGAGGCGATAACATCTTCAAATGTCCGATCGTGACCCATCACCGAATGACTAAACGCTTGTGGCAGTCGAGAGCTGCGTTTCGAAACATTGCGACCAGATCGAGATAACTCGTCCGCTCACCCTCTTTACCGTAATCCAAATTTTTTCATCTCGCTAAAGGGTCATTAAACGTTCCTCTAGGTGTCCCTGTGCCCCCTAATAACTAACATCTGCCCTTTCCTGTATGCGAACCGTACACTCTGTCTGTAAATGTGATGGTCTGTCATTCCAAGCAAGCCGACTGTCCATCTTAGCCTCTTCCATTCCCCCCCCCCCCCCCGCGCCTTCAGCCTATGAAGACCCGTCAGGTCCCAACGATTGGCGTCTGGACGTGGCATTTCAGCTGTGCTTCTATTTTTTTCCTTTTTGAAATAGAAGAAAAAATGAAGGATTTCCTCTTGTCATTCATCGCTGTTATTGCTCTTCTGGTTTCACATGATGTATGACATGGCATAAGCAATTCATTTGTATGCAGCTGTTTTGAGATTATTAGCTTGTGGAGACTAGACGCACTAGGGGGCCCGAGGGGGGGGGGAATTTTTTTAAAATGACAGATTTGTCCAAACAAAAATTTACCGTTTCAAAAGATAAATAGAACACGAGAAAGATAGTAAAAAGCGATGAAGTTGAATGGAAATTAACTTTTTGTGGTTGAAATTTTTTAGCTGTCACCAGCTTTTTTTTTTAAATCTTTAGCAGAGTTTTAATGATTTTGTGGGGAATGAAATTTCTCGGATGCTAAACTCAGGATGTAAATGAGCACGATGCTGTGAAAATCACTCGCTTAATATTTTCCAAGATGAAACGGTTTGGAGATGAAGAGTGTATTTTTGAGGCTTTTGAAACCACATCTAATTCTATCTAATGTATAAAGAATTGTAAGCTCAATTTAAAAATCTTCCAACAGCGGGGAACCGCGGCGGGTCCCGAAGCGAACGTCCCCGGAATCCTCTAAAATGGTCTATACAATCGGAAAATGAGAGTATTTACAGGCTAATTTTCAATACTTGGTGCAATTTTTACATATAAACTCCTGATAAATTTTTGAAAGCGCAATATCGACATGTGGTGCGATTATTGGAAGCTTTTTAAATGTTTAGTGCACAAAAGCTTTAGTGCTCTCTATCACAATCAATCCAATATATGGAGGAAAAAGAAAATGTGAAAATGTGAAAGGGTAAAATGTACTTCAAATACAACCTGTTTGCTTTCGATGCCAATGACCATTCCTTATCTGTCTAATCATTCTCGAAAAGTCAAATTTAGTCCTTAAGCTAATAGGGCATATCCGCTCATCTTCTTATCTTGACAAGAGGGCTATTTGCAGGCATTCTTGCTCATTCGTTTTGATAACGAAGTCAAAAAGTGTTCTGGCTGCGAATTTACTGAATAGCCAGGAAGTGTACTTTTTACTAAACTACGTATAATTTGTAATATTTTTTTATTTCGTGCCTTTGCGTAACTTTTAACTTGTGCATTGTTGTTTATCGTTTTTTTTTCTTTGAGAATTTTCTCCCATCTGAGAGAATTCTTAATGGTATAATGAGCTTGTTACTTATGTCAATTATCATAATTATGTAGACAACTGAGATCAATGATCAAACGCAGTTTTGCAGACTTTTTAACACTTTGTCGAGAACGTGCGTTTTTAGTTGTCTGCTGTTGCGACGATGTCTTCCACGGATAAGTCAAAGAAGCTTTAGCCAAAATCATGCAGATCGTCAACTATAGTATGCCTACAGTAATTCTATGAAGTAGGCGAGAAATACAAGAGCAATTTCTAAGGTTAGAGCTAGGAGAACTTCTGAAACGAATGCATTTCAAAATAGCAGTCTTTTCAACAAAATTTAAGCTATGACCTATCGTTGGGTCACACTGTCCCAGGTCAAACACTGCATGACCCACATGTGGGTCACATTGCTTCAGGTGCAGACATTGCATAACCCATGTGGATCACGCTGTAGTCACTGTGTTAAACCCATAATCTCCTCTATAATTGTGTTAAAGATTGGTAAGATAGGTATGTGTTGAACCCATACCTATCTTTTCCAATAATTCGCAAATTTTAGCAGATTATTTACTTTCGCTCCAGTTCTTCAATTAATAAAATTAGATGTAAACAGGAAGCAAAAATCGTTTGTCCTCGTTTTGCCATTAGAAACCAGAGTGCATTAAAGTAACTTTTTTAGAGAAGTAAAACTTGTACACAATCTTAAGAGAAAAATTTGAAGCAAACCCATTCAAAGATGGATACAAATCACACTTGCTACTCATACAAAAACATGAAGCTGCTCAATGAAGCTCTAGAAATATTTCTGCAAAAAAAACAGCGGTTTATGGCTTTAGCAATGTAGTTTGCCCCTTTTTTCGCTTCCCATCCCTTGCAATAAAGTTGCAAACTTCGCAACATCCTTTGCACTCCTCGCATCGTCGTCCCGAATTTGCGCCTTCCGTATTGACTCTAATTTTTCTTCGAAGCCACATGCGATGTTGCTTTTATGTGCGACAGCGTGGAGGGAGAGACCTGATGGCAGCTGGCTGCCAGGAGAGCCGATGAAAAACCACGAAACGCAACCCTCTAACACATCTGCTACGCGACACTTTTGACTCGAAGCTAAGCAAAAAATCGTCGAAAAAATTGTGAGGTTGGGAAAAATTCTTTGGAAAAATCCAGACATGCAGGATTAGAGCAAGGAAGCTTGCTGCTATGTTCTTGAGCCGCACGGAAACCACAGTTATTCCAGGAATTCGCATTATAGCGTGATTTTCTGCGTCCCCGAAAATTCTTGGCGCGAACTTAATTATAGGCTAGAGGTGCTGTTTCCAAGGTGCTTGCCCTATTGTTGTTGGCGGTTGGCTTTGTGTTTGAGAGTACGGGACCCCCCGAGCCAGTGCATGGCTAACATTCAATGCATCATTCACTACTACTAGTGAACTCTACCCCTATTTGTCCGGATGCCCTCTAGATAAATAAACGACTCAGTTATGTCTTATGTGGATAGGCTGCTCGCCAGAAAAAGGCTGTTTTTGAGGTAAATCTTCACTCTTTAGCTTTTTTGTCGCGTTTACGGATATCCGCTCATAAAGGGCTCTAGGTAAAACTTGTATGTAAATTTTATCGAAAACTTCGAATAAAAATCTCGAAATCAAGGTCCCGCCCTTTGAGATTTGGAGCAGAAAATGTGTTTTTTCATTTCTATTTGTCTCTTGAGCCAAGCAAGATTGATAACAAACTGTAATATAGTATCATTTATTCTTGATGATACCATTACCTTTCCCATTATGGGTCTTTTCAAGATTTGATGGTATGTTATCTGTCATAAACGTTGTCGTACAAGTGGCAATTATATCTGAGAAGATTTTTATTCCCTATTTGTTTGTCTGACTTTTTCTGAAATAAATTTAATCTTTCATTTTAGAACTTTCCAAGGTGATTTTTGCAGCCGAATCCATTGTCTTTTTTGGCTTTTTTCAGTAAAACAAACGTACTACAAATGAGCATGTGTGGCTCTAACAATAGTACTACATATTTCTTTTCGCTTCAATAGCCTTACGACAGATATAGCAATTTGTGCTACGATTCCCATTTGATTAATTACATGTAGATTGGGTTTGAGAAAAAGCTCCAAATGTCTCTACAAGGCCTGCAATTTCATGATTGACTTTTAACTGAGATACCACAAATCTTTTGTTTTATAGCATAGTTTGTAGCTACGAAAATCTCAGTTTCCTCTAATAATTTTCTGGTTGACTGCTTTTAGCTAGTACATGCAAACGTTTTGCAGATTTCATTTCCCTAGGGGTATATTAACGTTCTCTAATTGAAGAAATGTTTCATTTTAATCTGCAATATCACGGATAAAAAGCCACTGATATTTTTTGCAAATCATTTTTCTTTTTCTATCCAATCAAGTCTTTATCCAAATTAATTTTCAAGGTTGGCTTTATGCTCAGTTCGGGTGATGCTTTACTCAGCAAAAATAGAAATTTTGAGCATTTTATTGCAATCTAAGGATTTAGACCTACTTTATTGCTGAACTCGTTTGCAACTTTTTGAACTTTCATGAATCCACTCTTTTTGTCCGAATCTGTCTGGTAGTAATCCTCTAATTTTATTGCATTTCCTGAACTTTCCCTACCCCCAATGCCTCCGTAAATCCCAACAAATGTTCAATTCCACAACCGCAATCGAGCCAAATCGTTGCCATCTACCAGCCATTAGGCGGCCATTCCGGC